TCGTGATTTGCTATCTCGCCTGGCAGTGGGCACGACCCTATGCTCGAGTCCAGGTATGGATTACTATGAGAACTGGATGGGGTACTATCTTTCTCTGATATTGAGCACCATCACCGGACTATTCCACCCATGGTGATTAATGTATTAATAGGACTGGAGAAGACATTTGGAGCCATGCAGGTACCCTATGATCTATCGGCCTAAGGTAACCGGTGGGCAGGGACTGCAAGCTTGGAGTGGAACTCTTACGACCTGGATTGGTGCCACTGGAGAGACTATAAACTCAATTATAACGATTCCTCTACCCCGTACTAAAAACTCTATGGAAAGGATTGAGGAGTAGACCAATAGACAAAGATTTGGAATGGACCGTTTGATCCGAAAACTGTAAGCTCTACCACGAAGATTATGCCAAGTTGCCAACAGTGCGACGTTGGTACCTCCTATTGGCAAAGCAAATAAGAAGAGAAAAGAAAGGCGCAGTACTAGTAATGTGTCTCGAAATCGGGACCAATGAGAGCACAGTTGTCCTCTATGATCATATATGTACATAATTATCTTTACTGTTGATTCTGTGCTCATTTAGTAAGAAAAAAAAATAAAAGCTCTGGGCTCCCATGGGGGACTACCAAATCCAGAATCAGTCTAGAAAAACGGAGGATTGTCTCGGAATTTTTAGGGGCCCCATTCCTAAAACTCAGTTTTCCTCGGAGGTTTCACCATATCTAGGGACTGCGGAGTTGGGACGTGCTTCGAAAAGCGCCCTAGAATAGCCAGAGAATAAACTTCTCAAGACCCAATGCTCAACACGAAAGTCTCAGGACGAACCCCTTACAGGTGGATAGTTTGCCGGATGCCGTCTATCTATTTGTCGTGTTGCAGCTCACTCCGCAAGCCAACACAGCACAAAGCGCCGGGTACATTCTAAATCCTTAGTTGGGTTCATCATCGCCAATAGTGGATGAAAAGGATTCGCGAAGGATGGATAAATGCGGTGGCGAGCACAGGACGAGCGGGGGATTGGCAGTAAAAATTCCATAGTTGCCCATGTGAAGATAAAGGCGATACCAAGGCCCCCAATCCAGGCAACGATGACAGACAATCTGTCATGAACAAGAGACTGGTGCGATGATGCTATTTCAACGAAGAAGTTCCGAGAATGTTCCGGTGTAGCAGGTAATTCCTCATTGGAATTGCCTATCAGTGCTGCTTGCTGTCCATTAACGGCGCCCTCTGGTCTTGCCTTTACCGGACCGTCGTGGGCCTTGAATGGAAGATAGATCTCGTTTGCTCAGATTCAGAGTACCTCCTGCAAACTTTCCGATGGAGGGTCCCCCAACGCCACGTTCCCGTCTTCCGGTGCTGGATTTTGCTTTGGGTACGGGTTTCTCGAGAATGATTCCGTTTTCTCTAGCTTCACGTCGACGTTTATCATCCTTCTTCTCAGCTTTAGCTTTGATGCCTCTTCGATGCGATGACGGCATATTCTGATGGTATAGTGATGCCTTGGCACCAAGCGATTGCATCCGCAAGTCAAGAGCTTTTAGTCGATTTTTACCGGTCGGCGCAAGATCCGACGATGACTCGAGAAGATGGGATTCTTTCAATAGTCGTTGTAATGCCAGGTCATTCTTCAGATTTGCGACGTCATCTCCGTCATCCTCGTCTTTGCTTGGGGAGCTCCTAATAGCTGCCGGTTTAACAGAGAAGGATGGCGGCTTCGCGGTCTGGATATAGTCATAGAATTAGCAAATTTCTAGAGGACAAGTATATATCGTGTAGACATACCATGAAGGCTTTGCGGGCTCTCTTGTCCATTGGTTCCTTAGCCACCGCCGACAAGTCGTGATGCTCGACTACCTCAACATTGCCATGCCCGTCCTCGGAGACGCCACTCCATTCAGACTCAGGCTCAGATTCTTCAAATTCATCGGTGCTATGCTCATCATCGGATCCCTGAGCACATGTAGTGCGGGTTTCAGGTACTTCTAATGGCTGGAATTGGGCTTCAAAAAATTTGCGGAAGATATCATGGCTAGAACTATCGTTCGCCGAAGTGGTTGTTGCTTCGTCGTCCTCAGATGTCGTGGATCTCGATACAACGTGTGTATCTCTCTTTCGCTTTCCAATCATCTTTCGATACTCTGCTTTTCGAAGCGTTGTTAAGCTATGAGAGACTCAAATTCGAAACCTTACATCGCGGCCTACTTGAAACCTATCTTTTTTTCATGGTCACGTGCGATAAGATAAGCTGACCCCTCGTGGGATTTCCACAATAATATATCGAACTACAACACAGTATCAGGTTTAGAGACCCATTGGAACAGACAAGATGACCAAATTCCGTCCTTGTATCGACCTCCACTCGGGTCAAGTTAAGCAGATTGTTGGAGGGACATTGAGCAATGTCCCTGCGGATTTAAAGACGAACTATGTTTCTAAACTACCGGCTAGTCATTACGCAGAACTGTACCAAAGACACGACTTACGTGGAGGTCATGTTGTGATGCTTGGTTCAGGCAATGATGCAGCAGCAAAAGAAGCACTGAGCACATGGCGGAGTGGCTTGCAGGTCGCCGGTGGAATCACCGATAAGAATGCTCAGTATTGGATAGACCAGGGTGCCGAGAAGGTGAGTTCTATTGCTTTGTTGAATGCCGTCTGTATCTACTTGATTGTATATTTGGGTCAAGTCAGTTGTGATTCTCTCATTCTTACATTATATCAAAAGCGCCTCGCTATCGTTTTCCCTTTTCCCTTCCTTCCTTTGTTCTTCCGTCCCTGCAAGCTGCCACGGCAGGTACTGATTGCCTTTGCATAGGTTATAATCACATCATTCCTCTTTCCAGAGGGCAAATTCTCTCTTGAAAGATTGGAATCGGTTCTTTTGGCTCTTGGAGGTGACAGGTCGAAACTGGTTCTAGATCTGAGCTGCCGAAGGAAAGACAACACATGGTTCGTGGCTATGAACAGGTGGCAGACCATAACAGAAATGGAAATCAATCAAGGCAGGTTTCCCTTTTTGTTTTTTATCTATTTATCGTTTTTGTATTAGGGCGTTTCTATGCGACCTAGGCTCTAGGGAAAGAAAAGCATCTCCTGTACTGACCAAGATAAAGAATCCATCTCGCTACTGGAGCCATACTGCTCGGAATTTCTTATTCACGCTGCAGATGTGGAGGGGCTACAACAAGGTATAGATGAAGAATTAGTGTCTAAGCTCTCCGAGTGGTGCTCTATACCGGTTACGTATGCTGGCGGTGCACGGAGCCTAGAAGATCTTGAGAAGGTTCACTCAAGTAGTCGAGGAAAAGTGGACTTAACTATCGGCAGCGCGTTGGATATCTTTGGTGGTTCTGGTGTGACATTCGATGAATGTATTCAATGGAATAAGACTCACTAAATGAGTAGTAGCTTAGAAATGTGCCAGTGTAGCTAGCCAGGTTTACAAAGATATATTTCTCTTTCTTCCATAGTCCGAGCGTCTCTTAAACGTCAGTCAAATATGAAGCCATAAGATAGGGCTATATAAAACCGATAACTAATGCTTTCCGATCCTTTATTTCAACTAAGATATAAAGGAACATAATAACCTGTACAGTCAAATAACATTCGTTCCGGGGGTTGATACCTTCATATAGGCGCGGGTCCAGACATTGTTGCCAAAAGCGGCTTAGGCGCTAGCATTGAATCGGAGCTCTCTTCCCGCCTGGTGAACATCATCTATGATACCCGCCCTCCTTGTCAGTTGCATATTTAGACACAATCAAAGCCTCTCACGCCTGCTCTTTTTGTTTGTGTTGTACTTATCCACATTCCTGGGTATTACTTCTGCGATACCATCGAAACTGAACCTAGTCGGATCGCTGAGACCCTGTACCAATCAGTCGTTTATCGCATCACTTCGTCTTCGATATGAAGCCTGTCGTGTCGGTGTTGAATGCGTGGTCCTGGTATGTCTTTTACCAAGACAATTCTGTACTTACTACAAACTGACCGAATATTTCTACAATATAGCGCGATCATCTCCCTTTTCGCTATTGTCATCCTCTCGGTTCTCGGATCGTTATACAAGGTTCGTTTGCTGCCGGATCTGCTGCCGGATCTTTTCATTTGATAATGGCCAACATTGTTGCCTGTCCTGGTCGTGGTATACTAGGAGTGATAGCTAATTAAGATACTCATAGAGTGAGCACCACGGATTTACCGGATCAGAGGGTGAGCCTGAGGATGGCGGCGCGGTCGCTGCTTCGATCTTCACAGCCGTTTTTGTATACGCTGTACGATTCACCCTATTTGGGTACAGTAACTAGAACATCGCATTGCTGACAGTTATAATCTATAGGCGTTTTTCGTTTTCTGTTCTTTCCAGGCCTATCTTCACGTGCGAAACCGCAGGGGAGGCGCCATATCGCTTAACTAAATTGTCACTATTGTTATACCCTTCTTTTCGATGATGAAATCAACCGCAACATTTGATTCTTTGGCCATACCCATATATGATTACGTCGCCCAAATGATACCACGAAGTGGTCTGGAGTGGAATGTGATAAAACGTACATGCAGTGTACCGTATGCTGCAGCATTGGCCGAGCAGATGATAACCTGATGTCCCCTGACTCTAGATACCTGTGTATATCATGTATCATGGGCTCACCCACCGTCTTACTTTCCGCTGTTTTAGGTTAGCTTTTGATTTGCTGTTCTAAGTGCTTTATTGCTGGGTGTCTCCTTGTGGTGTATATAAAGTATCGGTTGTTATAGAATTGGCTTTTCGTACTATTCTTTTGTGCATATGGCTCATATGATATTGTACCACTAGTCTTAGCATACTATTTGGACAACTGAGTACAAACTAGGCCCCAAGACTCGAAAACCACTCGGCATCACAGGTGTGCATGCACCTCTATTTTAGTTTATGTACAATTACGTATCTCTTCCAAACGTCAGACACAGGCAGATCATTTATAACACCTAGAATGCAGAAAAACCCGCCCCTTAGAACGCCAATGCCATAACCCCTCCCAATCAGCAAAACTTTTCATTGAATATTGCTCATCCATCATCATAATCATATCAGCCGATGCTAACTAGGGCACAATCACAAAAGCTCTTCATCCTCAATAGGGTCCAACATCTTGGACATATAAGGGCCATCCAAAGTGTAGCCTAGACGCGCATAATAATTGCGCACGCCAACACCAGAGATGACACTGATTTTCTGGCTTCCGTGTTCCTCCCGGGCGATGCGTTCCGCTTCCTCCATCAGCAAAGTACCAAAACCACGGTGCTGGAACTTGCGTGGATCACGCCCATGCAATGGCACGGCAGAGCCATACACGTGAAGCTCACGGACGATACTAGTTTGTTGGCCAGTAAATTCAGGGCGGAAAGTGTGTGTAGGGCTGCACTTTCGCAACCGCAACAAACCAATTAGAATGTCTTGCTTGGGATCCTCATAGGCAAGGAAGGTCTCCCAGCCTCCATTGGCTGCGTAGTCGCGTCGAATAAGTTCGACCTGAGATGGACGGATCTTGTTCTTGACTTCATTAATGCCGACCTCACGGGTACGGACGTCCCGACATGTGGTGCCGAAGTCCTTCATCCTGGCCAAAGCAAGTTCACGCAGATTGCCATTCTCTACGCCTGAAGTAACCAGCGGCATCGGGATATCTCGCTGGACACGGTAGATACGGGTCCAAGGAGGGACCAGGGCAAGGATACGAGCCACAAGGTCAACCAAGGCGTTGGGAGTATAGTTCTTATAGCGACCAGTCCTCCATAATTCATAGAGACCAGTGCCTCGGATCACTAAAGTTGGGTAGATTTTAAGGCCGTCGGTTCGGAAAGCAGGGTTCTCGAAGTATTCTTGGAACTGGAATAAGTCACGTTCCATCCCAACGTTCGGCAAGTCGGGCATCATGTGGCTGACCACCTTAAAGCCGGCATCCTTCGCAAGCTTGAAGGTTTCTGCAACTGCAGCAACAGTGTGGCCTCGATTCGTGTCCCTGGCAACATCCTCGTACAGACTTTGTACACCAATCTCCAATCGTGTACATCCATACCGAAGCATGCTGCTCAGATGTGTATCCAAGCAGTAGTCGGGTCGAGTCTCAATTGTAATACCAACACATTTCACATTGCTCATCTCACCGGCCTGGACGGCTTCGTCGACGTTGTCTGTCTGATATCCACTCAACGCATTGTGGAGCTGGGCGATGAACGATTCGCGATAATCCTCTGGTAGAGACATGAAAGTCCCACCCATGATAATATATTCGACTTTGTCGACACTGTGACCGAGAGACTTAATCTGGTCCACACGTCCTCTGGCTTGCTCGAACGGGTCATAACGTGCTCGGATAGCACGCATCGACGTGGGCTCATACCCGGTATAGGACTGGGTTGAGTACTCGAAATCGGAGTCGGGTCCACCAGGGCAGTAGACGCAAATATTACCGGTGTATGCAATATGAGGACAACGGTGGGGTTTGCTCATCACAGCGACAACGGCGATACCTGAAGACGTTCCTAGATGACAATTAGAAAAAGCCCAGCTGTAGTTGACGGACTAGGGTCGTACTGATCGGCTTAGCAATTAATTTGGGAAGGATATATTTCTTGTAATGTTCCGGGACAGCAGCAATAATAGCCGTCAAAGGTGGCAGATGGGCTAAACAATGCTTTTTCGCGATTTGGTTGCGCAGTCTGTTCAGATTAAGATCTTTCTTTGGCTTTTTGGGATCCGTTTCAGCTTCATATTCTCGAATGAGGACGTTGGCGATATCAGAGCAAGCTCGCATGTATCGTTCATTCTCTGAAGGAAGCTTTGTGTTCGTCTTAGATTTGGAGGGTGGCGGCATAGTCATCGTGGCCGTCGCCATTTTGAAGAATTTACCACCACGTAGATGGCAAGGAATAGAATCAAGAAAGGATCTGTCCGGCAAGTACTAGGGCAAAAAAAAGGGAAATTAAATAGAATAAAATCAGATGACGATATGTGAAAAAAAAGGAAGGAAACCTAATGATTGCTACCCCAGATACTAATCTAAGGTGGTTTGGAGGGGCCGAATATCAAATCCGTATGCGAGAGAGAAAAAAAAGGCCGAGGAGACTGAACCGACCGCCCGCGACAATTCGGGTCCGCTTAAAGCTTTGTCCCGAAAGTTGAAATCCAAACCGTCCCGGCGCGCTTCCTACCGCTATACCAATCATTTTTCTTCTCCTCCACCTCAGCTTTCACATCTCTTCTGGTGCAATACCCTCTCCTCTCTTTCTTTTTACCGTTTCTACTACATACTTTCGCCATGCAGGCCTTCCGCCGTAGCACTGCCTCTGCCCTTCGGAATGCTGCCGCTGTGCAGCAACGGGGATATGCCAATGCCCCGGCCTATGCTGAGACCATCAACAACCTTCGCATAAACGCGGATACCAAGGTTCTCTTCCAGGGCTTCACTGGCAAGCAGGGAACGTATGTATTCTTCTGACCAGGTGTGATTTCATACATGATGCTGACGTTGCATTTCCGTCCTCCCGCAGTTTCCACGCCGAGCAAGCCATTGCCTACGGTATTTCCCCCCCTTCACATAACCAAGCAGATCGATATTTGCGATAATATGAACAACATAGCTTACAGAACTCAGGCACCAAAGTTGTGGGCGGCACCAACCCCAAGAAGGCCGGCTCGACACACCTTGACCTACCTGTCTTCGCAAATGTGCGTGACGCCGTAAAGGAGACCGGAGCTACTGCCTCTGCTATTTTCGTCCCGTATGACTGTACCCTTGAGTCTGGAGGTCTGTGAACATGTTACTGATTGACCGCAGCCCTCCCCTTGCTGCTAAGGGTATTGAGGAGGCAATTGAAGCTGAGGTTCCTTTGGCTGTTTGGTAAGATGATCGTGGCCTGCATAAAGTGATCAACCGCTGATATATATATTTTTCTTCTAGTATCACTGAAGGAATTCCCCAGCATGGTAAGTTTGACTATATTGTGCGAGCCATCTGGAGTCCCAGAGTCTGACTGGTATTCAACTAGATATGGTCCGTATCACCGACATTCTGAAGACGCAGAACAAGACTCGTCTAGTCGGACCCAACTGCCCTGGTATCATTGCTCCCGTAAGTTTCAATCACCCAACATGTTGACATTATAAATACACTGTAGCAGATATTTACGGCAGTATAGGGCCAATGCAAGATCGGTATCATGCCTGGATTCATCCACAAGCGCGGCCGTGTCGGTATTGTTTCCCGTTCCGGTACCCTGACCTACGAGGCCGTCAACCAGACCACTCAGGCTGGGCTTGGCCAATCCCTCGTCGTCGGTATCGGTGGTGATCCTTTCTCTGGCACCAACTTCATTGACTGCTTGAAGATCTTCCTCGAGGACGAGGAGACCGATGGTATCATCATGATCGGTGAGATCGGTGGTAGCGCTGAGGAGGATGCTGCCGAGTTCCTCCGGGCCAACAACAAGCACAACAAGCCAGCTGTTGGATTTATTGCTGGTATCAGCGCTCCCCCAGGCCGTCGCATGGGTCACGCTGGTGCCATCGTTAGCGGCGGCAAGGGCGGTGCTGATTCGAAGATCGCCGCTCTTGAAGCTGCCGGTGTCATTGTTGAGAAGAGCCCCGCCTCCCTTGGTAAGGCCCTGCTCAACGAGTTCGTGAAGAGGGATCTGGTTTAAATAAGTGAGAGTGGGATGTGAGTGAGTGGGGTGTGTGATTGAACCCCTGCGTGTGGCATCTCGTCATTCGTGAGCGTCACTGCTGAAACGTATATTCCAAACCTGCTAGATGATCTTCTCTTGACCACTTCTGTACTTTTCCTGTTTCATGTTCTTTGTTTAGAGATGCTAGGGAGTAATTAGTTTCCCCATGTAAATTTTCTCGTTTGTTTTGGCTCTTGCTTTACACTCCTGTCAATGTTGCATGCCGTAGAATGTGAGGAAGCAAAATTGATGCTCAACAATGGTCTGAAACACGCAATGCCGGAACCAATAATGTCAAGCCCTTGACACCATTCTTGTGAGGTGTCCATGTCATTGGATCGCGTCAGTTAGACCCCCCCAAAGATAGAACAGATTAACCACCTCACTGGGCAAAGATACTAGCTTCGAAGATCACCGTTGGTACTTGGAAAGCGGATTCCGACCTGATTTTTCAGCTTACGGCTCGCATACATGTGCCCCAAGGTGACAAATACCGGGAATGGGTCGCATTCGGCCCCTATCGTGGATCTGCTGTGATCCTCCTCAAAAATAACTACAGTGGCTGGGTTTTCCGCAAGCCTAAGTTTGGGCGATCGTCGCCAGCTCAAGTGATGCCAAGACTATCGGAATATGTAGGATCATTGCGAGCAGACGGAGATCTACGGAGTTCACCAGGGAGGCCAGCAATCATACAGAGGAACAAAGCAAAAAGACAATAAAACCCTGTGGCATTTAATGGATGTAGATCACCCAGGGACGATCTTACGCTAGCCTGGTTTGACCTACTCGACCAGAGCTTTTCGCCATCAGCATTCTTCTCCTATCTGTCTGTCTGAGCTGTTGTGGGTACGTACTCACTCACTCCCTATTTTCGACCTTCGTCATGGAAGGCTCTTGACCGGCCTACTCCTGACGCATAGAGACGAGGTTGAAAGAATAATAGCACAAATACTGTATGTCACACGAGTACGAATGGATTCTTACGATCGCAAGGTCTCCCTCGGTCATGGTTGCCCAAGAGCTAGGGGGTGGGGCGTTCCTATTCTGTCGATTATCGAACGGCTGTGTTTCATGGAGGGACGACATGTTACTAGATGATCATCAGGCACAGAGGCAAATCGACAAAGCTACTATACATTACGTGACAATTACGCCTCAGACTTTCGCGAAGGTGGAGATTTTTGCGGCCTTATCAGGGCAGCTCTCGACTCGAGTTTCATGTGAGAATTGAAGGTCAAGCTTGGTTAAGTGTAGCTTCACGTCACTGATGCTCTTTCATGGTAAACTCAGATAATGGACCCCCCCCCTCCCTGGGTTGTATCCTCCATCTTCGCTTATAATAAGATTATTAGACTCACATTGCATTCTGTATGCTTTCCGTTTAGAGTCTTGCATATGCACGGGATGCTATGCACCTCGATGTCTGACGCGTCCCTCCGGTTCTTACTACGTATACTAAATCATTAGGCTCACATGAAGCAGGCCAAGATTGATCGCTGGCTAACGATCTGTGGACCCACGGGGCTAAAATCAAGTATACATGTTTCTATCTGGAATTTGTCGGCCAATGAATAATGACCTGCAGATCATCCCTCATAGTTGGTGACCCTCTGCTGCATTAGCTGCCAGAAGGTCCTCCCTATGCAATTCAACGCCACCTCTCTGCTATCCACACACAGCAGAGCGGTGCTCCTCAAGGTCTTATCGACGCAGGCCTTTGTCCCATGGAATGACGATCTTTCTTTGCTACTCCACATGTATTATTCTCTTTGGGAAGAGAATTGGCGAGACTGCATATATTGTGGATCAAGTAACTTTGCCTTTCTCTCTTCGGTAATCGATATACGCTTTGGTATTAGAAGTATATAACCCCCAACTAGGAACTGGTTTAGTGCTGGCAAGTTTGATACCTAGGCTATCCGTGGACATTTTCCGTTTGAAGTATTTATAGCTGAGAGAAATATCATCGGGAAATTTGATTTCAGAACTATAATCTCTCCACTGCTGTAACCATGGCTACAGCAAGGTCAGATACCGACAAGACTCCTGTTGTTTGTTCTGTTGAAGAAGATGAGAGGCAGCCATCCGACTCTCTAGGGACTTCCCAGCTTGAAGACCAAGTTACCCAATCCAAGCCACATCATATTTTCTCTCGTCGTAAGAAGTTGCAAATGGTATGCATCGTTTCAATGGCTGCCATTTTCTCCCCCTTATCGTCGAACATTTATTTCCCAGCCCTGGGCGAGGTGTCAAGTGTAAGTACGACAACAAGAAAATATACCATGGGCAACCTTTCGAGGGGTAGTATATTAACCAAGCTCTATGCAGAGCTTAAATGTTAGCATGTCCCTTGCCACCCTGACGGTCACGATATACATGATCGTGCAAGGGGTAACACCTACATTTTGGGGTTCGATTTCAGATGCCACAGGGAGACGTCCAGTCTTTATTGGGACGTTCATTGTGTACATGATCGCCAACGTTGCCCTTGCTGTGTCCACCAACTATGGAGAACTCATGGCTTTTCGTGCCCTACAGGCTGCTGGTAGTGCGGCTACAATTTCCATTGGTAAGTTTCTATCCATTAATAGCCCAGTGCCAGGTATGAGTTACTCACAGGTTCACTCCTTAGGCGCAGGTGTCATTGGTGATATCACCACTTCAGCGGAAAGGGGAAGCCTTGTGGGTATATTTGGAGGAGGTAAGAAATTGCTGGGCACTTGGTACACACCACGAACGTATGGATATAAGCTGACACATTGAAGTTCGTATGCTTGGGCAAGGGATCGGCCCGGTTATTGGCGGCATCTTGACTCAGTACTTAGGTTTTCGCTCCATATTTTGGTTTCTCACGATATGCGCGGCCGTGAGCCTTTTGTCTATTCTTATATTTCTACCCGAGACGCTGAGGCATATCGCCGGTAACGGTACTGTTAGGCTGAGAGGTATCCATAAGCCTTTTCTGTATGTGGCTATCGGACAGAAGGGAGCCATTACTGGAGCCGACCCGGGCCAGAAGAAGCCTGAATTGACATGGCGTGCTATACTTGCTCCTCTCACATTCCTGGTAGAAAAGGACATTTTCGTCACCCTTCTCTTTGGAAGCATCGTTTACGCGGTTTGGAGTATGGTGACTTCCAGTACTACAGATCTTTTCCAGAATGTCTATCATCTGACCTCATTAGAGGTTGGCTTGACATTTTTGGGGAATGGTAAGGCTCACTGTCACATCACCATGGTGAGACTAAGTTCGCTGATTGTCATCTGTTAGGATTTGGATGTATATCGGGGTCGTATTTGGTCGGGTATCTTATGGACTATAACCACAGATTGACGGAACGCGAATACTGCGAGCAACATGGCTACCCATCTGGTACGCGGGTCAACCTGAAATCTCACCCGGATTTCCCTATTGAAGTTGCCCGAATGCGTCACACTTGGTGGATTGTTGGACTATTCATCGTGACAACTGCTGTCTACGGCGTCTCGCTTCGAACACACATAGCGGTTCCCATCGTTTTGCAGTACTTTATTGCTCTGTGTTCAACGGGGATATTTACCATCAATAGCGCATTGGTCATTGATCTTTACCCTGGGGCCAGCGCCAGTGCAACAGCAGTGAATAACCTGATGAGATGCTTGGTGGGAGCTGCTGGAGTGGCGGCAATGCAACCCCTACTGGACATGCTGACTGCCGATTACACCTTTCTCTTGCTTGCGGGGATCACGTTGGGAATGGCCCCTCTATTATGGATGGAAAGTCGATTTGGAGCTTCATGGCGGCGTGAGCGAGAGATGAGACTGAAGGATAAAAGTTGTATTTGAGGAAAGTCATGCTGTAGGAGATGGATCGATTCTGGGAGTCTGGTGTGTACTGTACATAGATACATAGATACATAGATACATAGATACATAGATACATAGATACATAGTTACATAGATACATAGATACATACACTCAACTAGCTAATGTACGGTACATGGCTATTACTGTACCTCGTATTATGGCATAGATTTGACTGCGATCATCCCTTTGTTGTGTTTGTTTATTACCCGAAAAAAACAATACAACGAACTACCAGGAATGCCAACTTATATAATCTCGACCACACGTGACCACACCCGCAAACAAGCAAAAGCAGTCGTTGCTTGAGGAACGCCGATCTCTGTTTATCCTCCTTCCAGCTCACGATTCTTCGACCTTGAAACGCGGCTGCTATGAGCTTTCCATAGCCAGTCTGCTGCTAGACCGACCCTATTGATGCCCTAAAGACCCGACTTCCGACTGGACTTTGATTGGGCTATAATTTCGCGAGTTTCCCTGCGGCGTGAAAACGTGTGGTTGACGGTGGCTGGAAGGGATCAAAACAGACGCTATTGCCCGTGGTTACCGACCGTCTCCCACCCAACAGCGAGGGCACCAAACATCGTGGTGTGCTGGAGCAGATCCGAGACGAAAAGATGCCTCCTGAGATGGGTAAGACGCTGCATCCACTTCCTGCAGAGCCTCCTACTTTCTGTCATCGGTCTTAACACAACTCCCCACTGTTGTACCTGTGTGTAAAATATCCGCCACTGTTAAGCTAACTAACAGAATCAACAGGCCGAGCCGCCTCGCAGGCCTCAAGTGCTGCTTCTCAAACAACGCAGATAGTAGCACCACATAGCCGCCCTGGGACAGCAGATCTCATGAGATCGCGCTCGGAAACTGTAGTGTCAAGAAATGGTCGCCGCCCAAGGTCTAGAGGCTCTACTGCCAGCCTCCATTCAAACACCACCCAACAAACCCAGGACCAGCAGATTACTGATGGATTTCCGCAATTCCTCCCGGCCCAAGCCAATGCCAGCCATAATGTCTTCGGAGGGAATCCTGAGGAGATAATCATGCGATTTGGTCAGCAACTTTCGCATCCCGTGAGCGGTTCTTCGCTGGACCCGACTATGCATGATGCTCATCACCCCGTCCTGCCAAGGGCTGAAGACTTCCCAAGCCATGCGATGCATGGCCATCACCTCTCCCACCATTCAATATCTTCAGGTCTTCCTGGATTGTCTTCCGTGCCAATGCCACAGTACCAGGCGATATATGACAGTGGGATCGAGAATCACGTCCCAGAACATGTTCTAGATGAGAACGAGAATTCCGAGGCTGGTGCGAAAAAGAAAAAGGGTTCAAACTCTTCCCTTGCGAATGACAATGAACTGCGAAAACTGCTGCGGCAGTACGAAGGGTATTCCTTGAAGCAAATGGCAGCGGAAGTCCTTAAGCATGAAGGAGCCGGCGGTAAGGCTGAAAAGGTGAAGCAAGTCTTTGCTATGATATGGTGAGCCACGGAATAACCCAATGATGTACCGGTTGCGATTTTGTTCCTTACACGCCCCTAGGTTGAAGGAGAATTGCAGAAAAAGCAGCGGTTCTGTTCGGCGCGATCGTGTTTACTGCTGCTATGCAGAGAAGTGTGGAACCGAGCGTGTCTCCGTTTTGAATCCAGCTTCTTTTGGGAAGCTCGTCCGCATCATATTTCCCAACGTACAGACTAGGCGACTCGGAGTCCGGGGAGAGTCCAAATATCACTACGTCGATCTAACAGTCATTGAGGAGAAACAGCAGAAGCCTCCACCCTTAAACCCTCAGATTCCAGCTAACACAACCGGCTCAGCTGCCCCCATAGAGCATAAAGTGGGAGACGCCATGCAGAAGAGGTGAGCTTTTCAGGGAAGCAGCACGTCAATGTATTTGAAACTCATCAGAACTAGTGTTAGTATCGCACCGCAGCCTCCTGCAGACACTGCAGTGTTCCCTTCACCTACCACTTCATTCACCGCCAGATCCTCGGGGAGTCTTTCGAGCTCAGATTGCGGTTGTCATACTTCGTCTCGGTCTAGTGGCGATTCCGCCACTACCCTTGAAAATGTAGCAAGCCATTCCGGAAAAATTATTCACCAGATGCTTCAACTGCCAACTACCGAAGACTCATCCATTGATAACGACACTCTACAACTTCCTGACATTAATGACTATGTCCCCGTTAATACTGATTCGAAGGTTGCCGCTGCTCTGGCCGCCCTTTATCGGTCACATTGCATTTCTGTCATAGACAGCTTTCGATACTGCAAGGAGCGAAATCTACGCCATTACTTCTCTGCCTTCCACGGAACGCTAACCGTGCCGGTACAGAAGCTTCTAACACACCCTAACCTCGCCCCGTGGATTAAGGAATGCGATTGGCTCATGTACCAGAAAATGATTGCGTTTGTGGCACCGCTCACAACTCAGGTCGTTCCGAAGCTCGTCCTAGACACCTTTAGCTCCATCTCTCAAAGACTTACCGCCCATATCGCAGATACGTTCAAAACGCAACCGATACACGTCTCCCTAGCAAGATTAATACCGGCGCATATATTCTGTAACCTTCTTCGGCACATGCTCGATGTCAATCAATCCGCCAATGCAGCCGCAGCGTGGCTGTGTCACCCTGATAACAGAAATCAAATGTGGTTTGACTTCAAAACGCTGGTAGACCCAAAGGATATGATTTCTAAAGCGAATATCCCAAGTTGCGCGGAGCAAGCTGCTGAGCAAATTCTCAAGCATGATGTTCGAGCCCTTCTTACTCCTATTACCGATCTGAACCCTGCCGCTGCCCATCCGTTCTACACAAAGCCTGATTCGGAAGGAAGTATTCAGGCACATAAGTATCCAGTGCAGTCATCAACGGGTGATGACTATAACTTCCCGGATAAATGGATATCGTTCATTCTCAATTTACCATCCGCGTTTCCAAATCACCGTACGAAATGTATCATAGAGAAAGTCGATGCGTTGTGGGATTGCATCCTTCGCCGATTAACATTAGGGGGGGCTCAGAGCTTTAGTGCCTGGTGGATGACTAAAGTATTCTTTCACGAAATGATGCTTTGGCAAGCAGAAAAGGGTGGCTTTATGCGCTATACTCCGAGCACATTGCAAGGCGTGAGTTCGAGAGCGGATCAACAGGCACCAAATAACACTTCCATGAAGCAGCCTATCTATCCAGACTCTGTTAAGAATGGATCCTTTACGGCTCCTAACACACAAAACACTGTTGATTCAAGGCCTGGATTAGAGACCTCTGCCCCGGCAGAGAGTATCCACCAATCTCGATCCTCTTTGGAACGTTCACAGATGGACGCAGAACCACAATCGAGCAATGCTCCTAATGAGAAGCCAGTGGACATGTCCGAAAATATAGCCAGCTTTCATGCCTCAAACAATGATGATAGCGCGATTGATCTTGACGATGATTCAATGCTAATGACCGTGGGCAAATACGGCGATATGATGGCCTCTGATCCAGCAGATGCTGAAGGCGATGTTGTCGTCATATAAGCTGACTATACATATTTACTTGATTTCATCAATGTTTTGGAAAAATCAGAAACAACCAAGTTTTCATTTGTTTATGGGCGGAGTTTTGATTCTCTTTTCAGGAGTCTTGTTTTTGGTTGGTGATTATTTACGTTCATGTACAAGGAAGTTTCGGCGTTCGACGATCTTCGCACGAGAGACGAGAAATGAGCATCGATCGAGATACATCAACCTGCCGCTCCGCGGTATTTTCAGGTTGAAAATCATACAAATTTAATAGCGTGGTTGATCCCGCTCTGAATTGCTTATTGCTTTTTTTTGAGCTTTTAGTTTCCCTGTCAGAGACCGACCTGCTGTACATAGATTCCGGTCAACCTGTTTGCAGATGATCTACTGAGCTTCTCACTGTCATGGTTCATTCCACGACGCCTCCTTTTTCCATACACTCTTTTAATTGCCCTGGACCACCCTATTCCTGTTAGGCATATTGCATTTAGCTTGTTTCGAGTCTTTATCAAGCCACTGCGGTCACATGAACCCTTGACCACAGCCGATTAGGAGACAGGGCGGCCTTTATTAATCACTTTCTATTTGGGGGTTTGCTTCATTCTTGTATACGTTTGGCCGCCGCTCCTCTACCCATTCACCTAAATGACAATTACTCGTTCTAATTAACACTATCCCTCTTTGCTATTGTTGGTCTCCTCGGGTAGCTGGCGTCTCCTGGCTTGCTTTCTGTTCGTATATATAAACTCTAGGCGTCTTTTATCGGGGTTCTGAATGACTAGGTTGGAAACCTTCAGTTCAATTTTCTTCGCGCATGTTGGTGATATATGCCCTCGAACGTTAAATAACCTCCCGAATTTACTTTCAGTAATTTCATCATATGATCGTTGATTGCAAAGCAACATGTTTCATTCCAACTGCGTGTGGGAGGAACTCACAAGTACATGTCAATCCATAACATCTAAGCTGCCATAAGCTTCGTAGAACATGATCAGATGAGAGAGAATATGCCAATAGTGCATGCTGCGTAATTAATCTACATGTACGAATGAAGTGAATATAGCCATGGTCGCTGGCCGGGAATATAATCGAAGGTGAAAGTGGCCGTGACCTGGAAAGTCAGGGCATCTCCTTCATACGACACTGCTATTCGAATTTCGAATCAGTGCACATAATGCTTCGGTAGCCTAGCATTCCGTCATAGATAAGAGCTCATGAGGCTTATCTATCTGAAGCCTCCGGCAGGGAAGAATCTTGGCCCAGCGTAGCCATGTGCTATGATGCTCTGTATATCAATGTTGCCTCCGTTGTGAGGGCTCCATAGCTTGATCAGGATGTATCGCCCAGAACTATGGGTATTAGTTAGCTCTAACCCTACAGGCTCAACCGTGTTGGAAAGAATAGGAGCCATACGGAGGTGGATCGAATGTAATGCTGACCATGCTCTTGGTTCGTTCAATGAAGAAACGAGCGTGGGGTTTCAACAATTCTAGATTAGGATTCTGGGCATCGGATCCGGCGTTTGGACCCGAGGGGGAGGACTGTGGTATAGGTTGAATAATACTGGGGATCGGACGTCGTCTTGGCTGCCCATTTCTTTCCATGGCGTATCGGCGACGCATGGATGTCACGCGCCTGAGTAGCTCACGGCGTCGACGGTTGTACGTATTTAACTCGGATGTATCTTCATCGCTATCGCTATCATCACTGTCCGAGCAAAGGAAATCGTCCTCCATCTGGTCCATCTGTAGTCTCTCGACATCCGCAAGAGGTGGTAGGTCGTTCACATATCTCTGATCACCGTCGTGACCGTCCTCAGAACGCTCATCATAGTCTGTTACAATCCGAAACCCCGACATCGGGTCAGGAATGGCGCCAGCATTTAGCCCTGTGGGGTCACTGATATCGGTATCCGACTCTGAATAAGAGTCCCGACCAGTCAGAGATTGTAGGGGATGCCGGTGCGCATTCAGATATTCCTGGGAAGCTGCATTTCGGTCCGACGATTTCGCCGGTTTCGTCGAGAAGATGTATACTGAATCTGGTACTGGGCTGTACGGGTCAGAAGTTCGTCTGAAGTCATGGATACGAAAACCATGCCTTCTTGTATCCTGATGAATGGTTATTAACAAGCGGTGATTAGCCAGGCTGCTCAGATGTAACATACGGAGCATCGTAGCCAGACTTGGGAGCCTTGATCACAATCTTCTTCAAGCAGAACGGGGTCTCTCCACGATGCTTCAAGATCAGATTACACCGGTCTGATTTTGTACAGTAAACAGACGAGTCGTTGCGAAGGACGTTCTCCGGCCATGTGCTTTCACCGTCGGTTTCATAAGTGCCTCCGTCACAGCTAGCCAATTCCATCTTCAGAGCTCCGGACACAACCTGGCCATACTGGCCATACCGGAAGCTCTGCAAACCCTCTCGGTTGTCATCTGATTCGAGTTTTCTACGTTTGACCCTCCACTGACCCCCGTCCGCTTCTTGAGACATGCCGGTAGCTGCTTCGATAAGGGGTGCCGGTTCGTCTCTGAGCTGGTTGGAAGTGGGGCCTCGATTTCTTCCTTCTCGACTTGCCCTATCACTCCCCCTGGGACGATTAATTTGTCCGTTAGAGGATATAGAAGAATCGACAGTACTAGTACTAGAGTTGTTGTCTATCGCAGCGACATTTATAGCTTGCAATCTCTGCATTGGGCGTGGGATATGTTGCTGTATCTGCCTATCAATTGTTTCTCCAGTCTCTTCGAAGCTTAGTCGGTCCCACACACGGCCGGAGCGATACTCTTCTATCTCTGCGTTCAGAGTCTCTAAGGCACGGGCAGTGCTGTGGTTATGTTCTGAATGCAACAGATCTCGCAAATGCTGCAAACTGTTTCCGGTAGGACGGTGTGGTCTAGTATCGCCGGTACGGCTTCCACGAGGTACACGAAGAGAAGCGGTAGGATAATTGTAATTCCCCGACTACAAGTATAGCCAAGATGGTCAATATACGCTGAATATGAGGTAGACAGTATCCTTGTATGAAAGGAGCTCTGGGTTGGCGACGGGATAAAATAAAAATAGCTCGGCATTTGACGTACCATTCTGTATGTAAAGACGATCCGCGGTTAGTTTAACGTCCAGAGACAGGAGGGGAAGAAGAACTATATCGGGGCGAGATAAACGGATTATGATGAACTAACAGAGGGGGGAGTAAGGGGCAGAAGAGGTAACCCACAGAGAGTACAGATAGACCACCTAAAATGACCACAGACAAAAGAAAGGCCAGGCCTGCAGTGGTCGGTGAAAATGATAATGATGGCCAAGTTTCAGGTGATAAGTGCGGGTTATCGCCCGTAGCGTTACACGTGATACTGGGGTATAACCGTCTATCATTCATTCATTTACTCCGAAGCTGCTTTCATACACTTCTTTCCTTGGCTCTTCTCAGCTCGACTGAGACTTCAGTGAACATACGCTGCACTTCTTAACTCAAAAGTTGAAGTTGCCTTTGCCATAATCTGCTGACATTTCCCCCATCCAATTTCTGGCACATCCGCTCTTTGATAGTTCCCTGTCATTCCCGGCAGACCGCGAGCACTCTTTTGCAAATCTATTGAGCCCTCACCAACTCCGAAGCACTCTAGCCCATATCTGCGACTTTGCGCAAAGTAACACCGTCTGGATCGCCGCTAATTGGAAGGTGAACCCCACCGTGTGATTCCGCTTGGACACCAACACCATGGAGTCACAGGGCAATGCAGCTCAGCCTATCAGTGCAGGTGAACATACCTCTATACACACGCAAAGGCTTCAGTGCACGGAACATAGGTCAAAACTGATATAAGGCTCTTACTTGAACAGATGAGATCGCCTTGTATGATCGTCAGATCCGTCTTTGGGGCGTGAAAGCCCAGGAAAAGTAAGCTAGCAGCTTTCGATAATGGACATTGTGCGCCTAGCAGGATACTTATATCTCCCTTAGGTTGCGATCAGCGAATATACTTCTAATTACCTTCAAGGCATTGGCGAATGAAGTTGCTAAGAACCTCGTTCTCGCTGGTATCGGCACACTGACAATTGTTGACCATGAGACCGTCAAGGAGGAAGATTTGAGCGCCCAATTTTTCGTCACGGAAGAGCATATAGGGCAGAATGTAGGCTGCGCTTTGCTGGAGAATAAGGAAAAGGGGTCATGCTAACCGTGAATCAAGCGCGCGCAAGCGGCAGCCCCGTCAATTCATGCAATGAACCCAAGAGTTCAGCTTCGTATCGATACAGATGACATACACATGAAGCAACCCGATTTCTTTGCACAATTCGATGTCGTCATTGCAACAGAGCTGGACTTCGCAATGTACACTACCATAAATGCGGCATGCCGCATCGCAAATCGTCCATTCTACGCAGCAGGGTTGCACGGGTTCTACGGGTTCGTCTTCGCAGATCTAATTTCACACGATTTTGTTATCGAACGGTCCAAGTCAAACGTCCCCTCAGCTACCCAAGAGACTCCAACGCGAAGCATAGTTGGTATCACGACGAAGAAGGAAAACGATAAAGTTATCGAGATGGTTACCAAGCGAGAGACATACTCGCCTCTGATTTTGGCAAACACATCTCCCCTCCCGGAAGACTTCACTCGTCTGCCACGAAAACGGCGACAGGTCACGCCACTCCTTACTTGTCTCCGAGCGCTGTGGGAGTTCCAAAAGCTATCCGGAGGTTGTATGCCAACTTTCTCTCGTCAAGACCTTGAGCTGTTTACTAAACTCGCCCGTGACGGCCATCAAGAATTGAAATTGGATATCAGCACCCTCGACTCGGAGTTCTTGCGCACTTTTTTGCAGAATCTCGGAAGCGAACTAAGCCCCGTTGCCGCCGTTGTCGGTGGTAAGTTAGCTCAGGACGTGATTAATGTATTGAGCGTCAGAGAGCAACCTATACAGAACCTCTTGCTCTTTGACGGCGAGAAGTCCCTCGCTCCTATCTACCCCTTGCACCCATTCTTCCCTCCAGAAGTCGAGAATGTCATGCCCGCCATTCCTCCTGCCGCGAATCCGATCCCTTTGAACGGCAATCTTACAATGCAACAACCAATGATTCCTCCCTCGGGAGCAAACGTCTGAATACGAGGAGAGGAGAAACATTAGACGTTAATGATAACTAACATTTTGTATTCTATAAGATCCTCGCGTGTTTTTTTCTTTTCTGCCATTAAGGTCCCTCGCCGTTTAGGGCATGATTACGATTTGTATGATAGACCAAATGAACGTATTATGATCTTCTTATTTATACAACTTGATTCTGCAAGATAATTGGAAAGAACGTGAATGAGACGGACTTAATACAAAGGGTCTCTTGTCGGGAAAGCTCATACTATCAACCTCTCGTAGTCTCTTTTCCGACTAAAGGAGAACTCTCCTCATCAGTGACCCTTTTGGAACCTATGGTATGGCTGTCACCAGCTGCTTTGCTGTCATCTTCCTCATCAGATATCAGGCCTTCTAGCTCGTAGGCCTCTGCGTCATGAATGTGCTGTGCTTCAGAGTTTGAGCGAGCATGACCGTTGAGGAAGCCGCCGTTTACGTGAGTCGCGCCCTGAGCTATCTCTTCCTCGCTGGAGGAGCGAGTAGGTGCGGTCTTCCCAGAGTCGGGCCATGCGTGTACGGCATAGATGTGGAGGAGAATGTTGACAACTAGATATCATGTTAGGATGAGTAAAAGGGCAGAGAATGTCTAGAAATGCTCAACATACAAAGGAAGAGAATGAAGGCGATGCTGTACAAGATCAAAACGTATGACACATGCGTGATTCCTGCGTCATGCAAGAGCTGCATCTGCTCCTCTGTGGCGCCCATGAAAAGGAAGCCCGAAGCATACAAGAGCTGCATGTTGTTAGCCAAAACAGATCCTCTTTTGGGTAAGTTGCATTCCGATAAAACTGGAATACTTACGAATGGTGTCAGGTACTGGAAGCTGTTGGGGTCCGAGCCATCCAAACTCAACGTGCCCCGATCCCTCAAGACAAAGGAAATCTCAATGATTCTTGTTAAGCCGGCCGCCATCAGTGTATAACCAAAGACAGTGTGAATCATTGTGCTAATCTCCAAGTGCTGCGGATGGGCAGACATGGCATAGCCAGTTAGAAGAATGACAATAGCTGGAATCAGATTCCGCTTTGGTCGACCGTTGCGGTTACGACTCAGCCATATGCCTAAAAGGCCAGCACACCACCAGACAATTCCCATAGTAGTGTGCTGCAGATCGTTATGGCCCCAGTCACTTCCCCATCGATGCTCTGTGAAAGTATTGACACATCCCCAAGCGGCAATAATTAACGAGTCGAAGAATTCCTGGCTTCGGCCCGAGCGACGTAGCCAAAACTGGCCGACAAGAAGAAGGATGGTGAGCATGATTCCGTAGGCAATGAAGGCGCTGCCCATGATAAAGTGAGCTAAACATTGTCCCAGATGATCATCGTGGCAGAAGCCCATTGCAGTTATGCCGCCAAACAACATCTGAACCCAACTAACAACTGGCATCGCCTTGCCAATAACGCCATGTATAACAACAATAACCCGGCGAATACGTCCATGGATACCTTTTGAAAGGTGTAGCTTGAGGTAGAATCCAATGACAACTTGTACTACCATTATAAGCATCAAGGTGTTTGCGAAGGATGCGTGAATATTCTTTGAAAACTGGCGGCCTTTATGGGCATGGCCCAGGAAATAGGCTACAATTGCGATTATCGTGCCAACTATTTGTAGAGGAACATGCCATCGTGAACGTACAATCTGCAAACATACACATATAGGGTTAGATAATTGTTGCACCCGACCGGAGGAAAAAGCAAGACATACCCCTAAAACCATTCCCAGTGGAAATATGATGCCAAAGGCAAATCCCATCAGAATCATATGCACCCATAAAGTCGAGTCCTGTCACCTTCGTCAGTCTGGTCCGATGGGATCGGTCTATCGTCTAAGGCACGTACAATGGGTTCTCCCGAGATAGCGGCACCCTCGGGAACATTTTCATGGCCACCATGGGCCAGTGCGGGTGAGACCAGAAGTAGTACAGCGAGTAACCCCCGCGGGTCTGGTTTACTCAGCATCATCTTCACGATGCTGCGAAGTAACTGAAATGAGAGGGAGAAGGTAGGGGAGGGAAGGAACTTTAGACGGAGGTCGATTTGGGCAAAGGATAAGAGAGAGGATAAGCCTTTAGCACGGATAGTCGGGGAAAGACGCAAATCGGCCGTCTCGGATTGGCGGGGCCAGGCTCCACTGCTTAGCGCCCGTACTAACCTCAGTCTAGTTAGTAGAAAGTCACTAGTGTACCTGTTATCCATACCATGCATACGGTGTACTACGTACTAGACTCCAACAATCTACAACCATGGTATTCTCCTGATTAGTGACCTTCGGTGGTTTACCAGTGGACCAGGCTAATTAAATATCAAGACGTCCGGGGATGAAACAGTTGCAACCGAAAGCGGTAACAAATCACCTTTTACCAATGAGCAACAGACACACAGGGAAAAGCGTTTAGTATGTGACTTTTTTATTTGCTTTGACCCTTCTTTTCTCGAACTGAAAAGTTAGTGGAAAAGTTGACGATAAAAACTGACGGAATTTCAGGCCTCTCTGTATACCTCGGTCGCCGACTTGGAGGCTGAAGTGGCACGTATGGAAGCTCAACTGGCTGAAATAAAGGCTCGATTAAAGTATGGACACCATGATATTGGCTCAAATCTTACAAGGATGATGCGTAACAGTAGAGCAAATTCTAGGAACGCCCCTTGTGTGACTGTCCAGCGACATATCCATCTTCTCCATGAATACAATGAAATTAAAGATATTGGACAAGGCCTGACGGGTCTTATTGCTGATGCGCGCGGAGTGCGCCAGATTGAAGTGCAGAGAGAATATGGGGTCAATGACCGGGATTGAATACTGTGAACTGTGAGTTAAACAAATATTGTATTGTCTGGATGCTCTGGCATTCATTTTGTAGAAAGCTTTAAATCTCAGAGCCCTAACGTTACGCGCAAGAAAAAAAAGGAAAAAGAAAAAAAGAAAAAGAGTATATCCTCTCACTTGTCTTAGAGCTATGTTTCTATTACGTATGTAAAATATTTCTTGTCTTGAATGATTAATGTAGCAGAATATATTTTTCTTTTCTTTTTTGGTTCACGTTTCATTCTTTTCTATGAGACGCCAACACACCCTCACCAATAGTCTATGCATCATACATTTGATAAATGTGAGAGGAGAGAAAATAGAAGATGAAGAGCGTATATGAACTTCAGAGCACAGGATATCATAAACACATCATATCAACACGATCCTGTGTCAGTGTATAGGAGCAATCGAGATCATGAGAGGGTATTTTAGAAAGTATGTGTAAAACATTAAAATTAGTGATCTTTGCCCAAACTTTGTAGGTTGACTAGTTCATAGTAACGGCCTTTGTTACGGACCAGTTCTTGGTGTGTTCCGCTTTCGACAATCTTGCCCTGGTCAAACACGTAGATAACATCGGCTTTCTGGATGGTACTCAGTCGGTGAGCAACAGCAATTGTAGTTCGACCCTTGGCGGCGGCATCCAGCGCTGCCTGTACAACTTTTTCGGATTCGGAGTCGAGAGCCGAGGTGGCTTCATCTAGAAGGAGGACCTTAGGGTCACGGAGAAGGGCGCGGGCAATAGCAACTCGTTGCTTTTGCCCACCAGATAACATGCCTCCTTTATTGCCAACCACGGTGTTGAATCCTTCCCTGTAGGTCTATCGTCAGTAAAACCGCGCGAAAATTGTCTAGAAAGGGGTAAATATTGACTGAGAGGTGTAAAATGGGCACTTACGGAAGAGACATGATGAAATCATAGATATTGGCATCCTTGCATGCCTTAACCACTGCCTCTTCCGGAGTATGGTCTTGATCAACGCCCAGCAAGATATTCTCTTTGATAGTCCCCTGATACAAGGTCGGCTCCTGACTAACCAGTGACAAAAAGCTTCGGTAAGAATTAACATTGAGTTGGGTAATGTCCTGGCCATCTGCAAGAACAGATCCAGACAGAGCATCATAGAAACGCTCAAGCAGCGCAATAGTAGTACTCTTTCCACATCCACTGGGACCAACGAGAGCAACATATTGACCGGGTTTCACGGTCAAATTCAAACCCCGGAGAACTGGTTGTTCGGGACGAGTCGGGTACCTGAAATGCACGTCACGGAACTCAATTGAACCTTCCATAGATTCTAGCTTCTCGCCATCTTCCGACCATGTATCAATAGCCGGTTTCCTGTCGAACAACCTTTTGAATTCAGCTGCGGCATTCTTCGCCTTGCCCATGTCTGGGGAGAAGGAGAATACAGTCCCCGCAGACTGTGCACCGAAGAGGATCTCAGAGAAGCAGACGAAGAAGCGGAAGACCGAGTATTCATGTTTCCCAAGGAGGGTGCCACCATACCAAAAGCCGAGCGCAACACAGAAGAAAACCAGGGCCTGTGAACAGGCATAAAGGATTGATGACTTCAAAACAGAGATTAGACTTTTCTTCCCCTGAGCTTCCAGCTGGGTGTGATATACTGTCCACACATCCCGTTCTCGGGTGAGAGAGGCCACAGTGCGGATAGCCGAGGTTGCTTCACAAGCGTAGCTCGCAGACCCTTCATAGGCAATTTTGGAACGGTGCTGGAACTGAGCAAGCATGTAGAAACGGTAAAATCCACATGCCAGAAGTACTGGGACAACAGAAATACAGACCAAGGCTAGTTTCCACCCGATAACGAGGGAGATCACAATTGCTGCCCCAAGGGTGGTGCTAGTCATTAAAATTGTGCCCAACGTTACACCGCTGACACCTGACAAATGTTTTGTTTCGGTTGATAGGAAAGAAGTTAGGGCGCCAGTGCTGTTTTCCTCTCTATCAAAGAAGGTGATGTCTTGACGAAGAATCGTTCTAAAAGCCTGGCTTCGCGCACGGCGAATGAGTCTCTCGGAACTGACAGCGAATGCGGCACCATTAATAGAAAGACTGATAAATTGAGCAATGCCAACGACAAAAAACATCAGAGACCAGAAGTTCGCATCATGACGAAGCTTGCCATACGCGCTCGGACCTGCTGCACCCAAGGAGAGTGAGCTGATCGCTTTAGCGTAAAGGACTGCTGGGTGGGTTGACCACCCCCTGCAAGGATCGCAAAAGTCAAACCAATTAGCATATATTTTAGTTCGGGGCGGTTGAAAGAAGCAATGAATCGGACTAGTGACCACAACGAGTATTTGCGGGTTTTTTCCGGGTTCTTCTTGGCGAGAACAGCGCTTGATACCGACTTGTGGGTGGCAGAACGTCCGATTCCAGAGTAAACCTTTTCGTCTCCAACGTCCACAAAAGAAGCCGAACCACTGTCAGCAGTCTTAATACGAGACATTTGCTCTTTGGGTAGCTCGTCGTCATCTTCAACCTCATCATCCAGAGCTTCTGCGTCCTTCTCTTCCTTGATGCGCTGAGCCTCTACAAGGTTATTGTAGGTACCCTTGCGATCGACCAGTTCATCATGTGTGCCCTGTTCTACAATTCGGCCATCGACCAAGACAACAATATTGTGGGCGGTTTTTATAGTCGATAGGCGATGAGCAATAACAATAGTGGTTCGACCCTCTGCAGCTTTATCAAGAGCAGCCTGAACAACACCTTCTGATTTGGTATCCAATGCAGACGTAGCTTCATCAAGCAAAAGAATCTTTGGGTCACTGACGATGGCACGGGCAATGGCGATCCGCTGTTTTTGACCACCAGATAGCAAGAATCCGCGCTGGCCGACGTTGGTCTCGTACCCTTCTGGCAAAGCACTGATGAAGTCATGAGCATTGGCCATTCTCGCCGCGTTCTCGATCAGTTCACGGATCTTTTCATCTGACTCGTTCTCATATTCCGTGCCAATAAGCCCATACTGGATATTCTTGTAGATCGTAGTGCCAAAAAGGATAGGCTCCTGGCTAACCAACGAGATTTGCCGACGCAGCCAACGAAGGTTGAGCTTCTGAAGATCGTAGCCATCTAAAAATATTTGGCCACCGACAGGAAAGTAAAAACGCTCAACCAACCCAACAACAGTACTTTTTCCAGATCCTGAAGGGCCTACTAAGGCTGTAGTTTTACCGGCAGGCATTGTTAAGGAAACGCCATCCATGATTGTCACTTCAGGTCGTGAAGGGTAGATGTGTTTGACGTCGCGGAACTCAATGTTGCCTTCAACGTGATCGGGTGTCTCTCCTTCATCTGAGTACGGATCCAATGGCGAAGGACGATCAATTGTAGTATAGATCTTGACAGCTGCTGCCACAGCATTCGTAAATGCTTGAGCGTTCGGGCTGACATTTCCCAAACTGAACGAGCCTATCAAAATCGCCATTAATACAGTGAGGACCTGGCCAACATCAACCTCTCCACTAACAAGGAACCGGGAGCCCATCCAAAAGCCAAGGCCATAGTTGGAGAACATGATACCAAACATTCCGCCAATCATGAAGCCAAGTATGAGTTGGTTCTTGACCCCCCACTTCTCTGCTTCTGCCAGGTGAGCCTCGTATTGCTTGGCAAGCTTATCCTGAGTGCCGAATGCAGTGGCGTTCCGAATGGAGCTGATCACCTCCTCCGCAACAGTGCCACCAGCACCATAACTCTCCAGGGATTTCTTGCTGTACTTCACGATAAAGCGAGATCCACCTCCCATAACCAACACAAGGGCGACAATCGTCGAGCTGCAGATCAGTGCCAGTTTCCAATACTTGACATATGCGACAATAAAGGCGGTGACAAATGTGGAGATGGCCGTAAGTGTAAGTCCAACTTTCTCAGAGATACCGTCCTGGATAAGGTTTGTGTCGGCAGTGATGCGTGTGGTCACTTCACCAGCACCCAGTTTATCAAAATAAGCCATGTTTTGCCGCAGGATGGACTCGAGATAATGCTCGCGGATCTTCTGGCTGATATGCTCCCCAGTATAAATGAATCCAACGGTGCTGATATAGACCGTGACAAATTCAGCGATACCGAGATATACGAAGTACAAGACATTCTTTGTCAATTGGTGATAGAATTCATCATATGAAATAAGATCTGCCACCCTGTTTGACATAGCTGAGGCCAATGAACCAAAAAGGATCTAACAAGTGGTCAGCGTATAGTTTTAGTGCAAGGGCCTAGTTAAGACATACAGTAAACAGCGGTAATGCCGCACCGGCAGCGATGGCACAAATCGCGCTTATGAACATGATGAGTATATCCATTCTAGATGCATAGCGGAAAAGAGCAAAGAACGACACTTTCACTTCGTCCGCATCGATCTGTTTCTTCAGGATCTGCTTCTCATGTTCTGGTAGATGAGAATAAAGAGCATCATCATCATTATCATTGCCTCTATCACTCTTATGGGAGGATGAAGGACGGGAACCCTGCTGCTTGGCCGTTGGCGGAGTTATCGTTGAGTCGGAAGCAGAATTACTAACAGACTTCTCACTTTCGATAGCAGTAGCTGGGGGAGAACCACCAGCTTTCTCTGTTGATTTCATTTTGCTTGAAGAAGCGAGACTGAGTTCGCAGTCTGTGTATAATCGCACAAGGGTCCCGATAATCACCTTACTCCATGAGGAAGACGGATGAAGGCCAGCTCGAATTAATTCGCCCGTTATGAGCTGCTCAAATAATGAATCGTCAATTGAAGGGCTGTGAGTGTTTTCACCAAAAGTAGCTTGAACGTTGGACGCGCGATGCCTTACGCGCGTGAACAAGGAAAGAAGGGAGGAGATAAATTGTTATCCCAAGAGGGGTACAACGAAGGGGAGAAACGAATCTTTGAGTTATTAGAGGCTACTGTTAAATAAACTATATAAGGATCAAAATAAAGGAGGTAAAAGGGAAGAGTCAACAGAGTGTCAAAGGGAGAAAGGGGGATATTTAGAGACCTCGACGGATTTGGTTGACCGTGAGGGTCAGATTGGTACATACCTTTTTGGTGGTATTTATTTAAACCTGATCTCTTATCGGAGTCCCGACATCCCGAGCGTTTTATGCAAGACTTAAATTAACCACAAACAGCCACTTCAAGATTGGGAGAGCAGTACTCCGTTGTGAGAAAAAGGGAAACGGAAAAGAAAAATGTTACCGACAATAACCATTACTGTAATATTAATCAACTCAGCTGATCATATCTCTTCTCTCACTGAAATATTACTGCCATGTTGCATAGGTTATCTACTCCGTATTCTAGTACAAAATTGCCGTATAGGATAGTACTCCACCAAAGTTTGCATACAGCATAGCCGACGGGGGGGAAACAAACGTGTTGCTTTGATTCCAGAGAGTTATGGTAGGCGGCAAGTAATACGTAACTACTCTCTGGAGATGGCTTCAAAGCACCTACGCAGTATTAGGCCAGATAGGTTAAATCTCCTCGGTGTCCCGGATTTCCATGGGCCCACGGGCCCGATGAACAAATCAATTTCTGATTTGGGAGCCCATTGATACACACATACTAACTGGTAGGTCTCGTTAAGCCTGTTATAGACATCTGCCTGACTCGACTCAGCGTTCTCCGAGACTACACTACAGAGTAGGACGTAATTCCACAAAAATCTCTACTCCGGAGACCAATACAAAAAGCTAAAAATACGAAGCATGAGTAATTGCCATGGATCCAGATTATGAACGTTGCGATGGATGCCTAAGGTTAGGGCCAATGGCCAAGCTTCGATTATGCTAGGAGTCGTAAACTATGGCCCGCTTCTTAACAATGATTCATACGGAGCAACTTACCGACGGAATCGGAGTGCCTAAAAAGGCTAAAACCTTTCTCTTGAGTCTAGCTTCTCCTACTTTTAGAGCCTCCCGAAGGGTTTAGTACTAGGCAACTTTGGGCAACGCTATACGAACAAGCCAATCATCCAAAATTCGTTTAGACAATCTTACGGCGGGGTTCGGGGTGTTTCTGTGCCTGGGAGTCAGGTTACTAGTCGACTTCGTACCGATGTTGATGGAACCCCCAATCTTAGTGAGATTATGCTTGTCGGGAATTCGGGGTCTCCAATTCCCGATATTAGAAATCAATAAATCTGAATTCTTCCATGTCATTGATTCGTCTTTTGAGGTCGACTACCTTCCTACTAGTACTAGTAGTATGGAGTACATTATGCTGAATGGGGACTCCGACTATCGAGATGTACTCCGTACCTACTCCGTACAGATTTTTCTTTTTCGGAGCGATCGTCGATCTGAGTCAATCTGTCCGCCGGGCCCATGTAAAGTTGACATAACGCCTGCTAAGGTTAGATGTTTTGACTCTATGAAATTGCAGCTGGCTGTTCTGCACTGTAGTATATCACTTTTCTTTGAGTAATTGGATACTAGTTCATTTAAAGAAAGGTACTGCAACTCTTTTGCCCTACTTCTCGAACTAAAGAAAGAATGGACAAAAGTGGAAAGGCTCCAGCATGGTAAAGTGTATGTATCTAATCAATCATCAATCGCTCATCCTCGTACATCACCAAACTAAAGAACAGAAGAAAGATTAAACCTCAGCCAATCTCCCCCAGAGGGAGAAGAAAAATGAAGAGGGCAGGTTACGATATCGTACGTACAATGTAATAGGCTAAAAATAATTATGCCTCTTCTTGTAATTACTACACCCCTCATAGGTGGTAGATCTGAGAAGATTGAGCATCAGGGACTTGGTATAGTTGATTTGATTATCCGTTATGTCATCCCACTCAAGCATACCCTGTATGTTGCGCAGCAATCCAGATAAGTTCCAAGTTATGAATCGGTCATCTGGTGATTATTGAAATATACCCTATTATAGACCAGACCAAAGTGCTGAACCACTGTCATGTCCATACCCCAGAGGTTCACGTTCACCAGTTGGTCCAAGTTCTAAGGCCTCTGGAGAACACTTGCCTCAGGCATAAATCACATGACCTTCCCGAAGCGAAACGCTAAGCCCTGCCCGCACAAAAAACCACTACTACCAGAGGCCTTGAAGACGGTCGACAACCTCATTCTCGCCAGTCCATACACTCAGCTCGCCGTCGCGACAAGCCTTCAAGATGCCGGTTAGCACCCCCTGAGCCAAACTTAGAGTCTCTACTCGGATGATATTTTTCCACATCATTTGGCCAATATGGATGAGAGGCTTCTGTGACTGTTGCTAACGCTCAATTTTTTCGATTAGAGCCACAAGAGTTTCCGCACCAAGCAGAAGCTTGCCAAAGCTCAGAGACAGAACCGTCCTATCCCCCAGTGGATTCGTCTCAGGACCGGTAACACCATCAGGTAATTACATCTATCCCTTTCAGGATCCTCGATCGGCTGGAACAGAATGGCAACTGGCTTTGAAATGTGTCTGGAGGTGACATGCTCACGCTGCTTCGTCGGAGCCCCGTCGCTTTCTTTGTCATTTGGGAGGGAGGAAGGATGATATTTGGGTCTTGAGTTCGACACGTCGGAAGGACATTTAATGCTGACAACCCGATTCCCAGATACAACGCCAAGCGGAGGCACTGGCGCAAGACCCGTCTCGGTCTGTAAATTAGGAACCTCTCCTTCGACCGAGATGTCTATCCCCGATTGTTTCGTTCATCTGTGATACCGAAAACGTTGCTCGCGATGATAAATCTGCGTCCTGGATCCGACCCGCTTCAACATTTTCTTTTCGCCAAACTTTGATCTCTGTTCGGAATTCCGGCAAACATATCTCATCTTGACAACTCTTGAGACTTTCAGGATGGCATACGGACAATGATCGAATCGGAAGCGGTGACGGGTTCTGTGACAGAACGTACTTTGCAAATTATGTACACGAGCTGAGACAAAATAAAAAATTATGATGGATAATGAGCAGTGAACGAAGAATTTTCAGGGACATCTCACAAATCACTCCTTAAAACATGAAGACAAACGAAGGGAACATGTCCGCGAACCGCAGGTACTACGCTACCTTTCCACCTCTATCTTGATACGTCCGCAAAAGTATGTCTTACTACTTGTGGGCTGGACGGTGCAGTCAGTTTGGAGAGCGGCAGGGTTGAGTGAACGTTTCAAGACACCAGAAGCCGCTGCAACGTATCTCATGCCAATCGTAGTGTAATCGGATGTATTTTGTCTCGTTGCTTTACGCCCTGCAGTGGCCCATACCTCTTGTGTTGTCAAGTTTGCCCTTCTCTATTGCGTCATAAACTCTTGTTATGTAGGTCTCTAGTTTATGCAAATCGAGGTAATTACTTGGTGTTACGTAGATAGTCAACTTATCGAAAGCCCCGATCACATACCCGTAGGCCGTGAATAATGATATTCTTTTCGATACAACAGCTCCCTCACCAACTCACATTCAGCGGGTAGTCCGGGTGTCAAACTGTCTACGTCTAACCCCAGCCTTCAAGAGAACAAAACCAGCGAATTGAAAAGAAAAGCGATGGTGATATAAAATTCCTAACGCCATAGAGTAGAAGCAAAGACCAATGAACCAGATAAAATTCAAGCTGAAAGATTAAGGAGAGCTGCTAGCCTCCTGGAACAGATCATGAAACTTGGGGTAGGATTCCAAGAGCAACGCAAGGCTAACATCGGCCAGTGGCGTACTTAGCGACTATAGCAGAGAGCAGTTAGCATTCAGGAGATATTCCAAAGGAAGGCAGGTTATGTATCGGTAAAACCTGGGAATCTTTAAGCACTTACTCTTCAGCCCATTCATTCTCGCGACGAATCTGGTCTTCCTCCTCGGGTGTGAAATCGTTCTGGATATTGAAAGTCTTTCGAATCTCCTCAGGAGACTTGCCCTTGATCATATTCGCAACGGTCTTGCAGCCGACATCGAGCAGTCCCTTGATGTCAAGGTAGTTGGCGGCCTAATTCATTGGAATTTAGTTTCCGAACCTGTGTCAAAACATCTAAACTGGGATAACACGTACCAGAATAATTTCGAAGAGCATTTCCTGGTCAACTTGCATGAACTTCTGATCCCACTCGTCAATATCCGTAGTCTTACGGCGGGAGTCATCGTCATCGCCGGTGCTGGGAGGGTCGTTCTTATGATGGGTGCACCACTCAATGACCTTCTTCAAAACGGCTTCGTTGACCTACAGCCAACAAGTCAGGTCCCATCACATAAAATCACTGAAAGTTTAAGTCTGGTAGCCCGGCCGAGATGACTCACGTTGGGAATGGGGATGGGCTCTCCAGTTTCACCCAAGTCTTCAAGCATGTTCTTGATGAGCAGCGAGCGTTCGGCGACATCACGGTCTAAATGACAGGATAACAGGTCAGTATCGAGCCTACTATTTCGAAGTTGAAGCGAGAAGCTATATATCTCGCCTCGGTAAAGGGCTATTTATCGTGATGAATGCACCTACCGACAGTGATGTCAACGCCGTCGGCGCTTGTGAAGATAAGAGTGGGAGTGGACATTTTTGCGATATTCTAAGTCCTATACCGACTGTTAAAACCTGGATCAATTGTCGCCTTCGCGAGACAAATCAGCTTGTTTTCATCGAGGGTTAGGATTCAAACCAAGCTCAATATTTTATGAGGGGTACAGAGGTGGGGAGATGATGACTTACGGATACTGGGAGCTGTGAGAGAGTTCTGAAGAGAAAAGAAGTGGTTTGTGGAGAGAAGATGGGGGTGCAAACCTTGATATAAATGTCTCGGGACAATGGGGCAGGAAGAGAATACAAGGAAAGCAAGCTCAAAGGGAGAAAGGTTGCGGTGCAGA